CCTCAGAGTGGAGAGGGTACCATGAGAGATCCTCTCCCATGATGCTGAGATCCCACTCTGTGCTGGAAATCCACTCATTTCCACTTAGGGCTTCATGATGCCAGCTGTGTTACTGGGGGCCTATCAGCCATTCTGAATCTGTTTCTACTTGGAAATGATTATATTAAATATGTATATGTCTATATATGTGTATATGTTTGTGTTCACATGCACATTCTTACACACCCACACCACTTTTCCTATTGATCTCAAAGGACTGCATTAGGAGTGTGAAAATCATATTAAATCAACTGTATTAAATACAGAGACAAAGAAGGGGCAGAAAGATGACACAGAACACATCTGAGGTATGGAGTCAGCCAAACTCACTGTTGAATTCTGACTCTTCTCACCAGTCTTAAAACCTTGGATGGAAGACTGAGACTCAGTCACCTGTTGAGCAAAAAAGATCACCCTCTAGCTTGAAGAATTATGGGGATGAATAATACATATTTGAAATTTCCACTGTTCATTTCCATCTGTTCTAGCATTAATTAGTACCATTCCTTCTATCTTAGTACAGAATAAGATTTGCAAACCAAATCAAGGAGCTCACACACTAGTGGAAAGGAGAATGGGGGAAACAAAGAGAACTGTTGAGATCATTTTGACATCTGAAGACATAAAAGAAGTTAGTTAGGGATCAAGTGGGGTAATTCAGAAGGTGATCAAGGATGTGAGAAGAGACAGACAGCAGGAAGGCCTTAAAGCTGTGTTAAACAGCTTCAGGAGCCCCGGCTGCAGCTCAGTAGTGGAACACATGGTTAGCATGCCTGAGGCCTGGGGTTCCATCCCAGTTATCATAAAAAGGAGTTTAGATTATCTAGACCATCATTTCTGGGATTGGAGAAAATTCCATAAAATTCTTATTTTATAGGACTTATGGCTGGAAAAAATCATCCGTAATCTGTATAATGTGACTTCTAAGGTCAGAGAATGTCCCCTGATCCCAAATCAAATTTAGCATCCTTTGTCTTAAGCAGGAATTGTATCACTGAATGATTTCTTCCTCAGCTATTGTTCCTTGACCTCAGGTGTGCTGTGATCCACACAGTCATCCAGGAAGGGGCCAAGAAGGTAGTCATTGGTCACCTGGGTAGCTTTAGTAGACGCCTGGACTGAATACATCCCCCATCAATAACCACTCTTCTGCTATGGTGATGGAAGCAGGACTGGAATCTGTTCTCAGCAGCCAGGGGATTTCCCCTGTTGGAAGACTTAAAGTTTTGAGGCCTTACCAGGACTCAGCATTAAGGGAAGGAAGTGCCTTCCTCCTGCTCTCCACCTTGGGGGTAGGGATGTCATTTTATAAGGAGACAGGTTTTTGTTTTGCTTTTTTTTTTAATGGTGGAAAAATAGTATAGTTAGAATTATCCAGCTGTACTCAACTTAGATGATTCCAATTTAATTGGCAACACCTAGAGCATCATAATCAGGAGCCAGCTGAACATATGCCTTCTTCTCTTCATCAGGCCTAGTCAGGAAATTGACCTTAGCCATATCAGTGTCATAGAGCTTCTTCACAGCCTGTTTAACCTGGTGCTTGTTGGCCTTGACATCTACGATGAACACAAGTGTATTGTTGTCTTCTACCTTCTTCATGCAGACTCTGTGGTCAGGGGGACTTGATGATGGCATAGTGGTCAAGCTTGTTTCTCCCGGGGGCACTCTTCCTAGGGTATTTGGGCTGCCTCTGGAGCTGCAGCGTCTTGGGCCGCCTGCAGATGGGTGACATGTGTATCTTCTTTTTGTGACTGTGAATGCCTTCCAGAACTGCCTTCTTGGCTTTCAAAGCCTTTGCTTTGGCTTCAGCTTTGGGAGGGGCAGGAACTTCCTTCTTCACTTTCAGCACCATCTTGGTGAAAAGCTAGTTTTGTTTTTAATAAGGTTTGGTGACATCTCTCAAGAAGATAAAGAATGGAGATAAGAGGCTGGGAATAGTGGTATATGCCTATAATCCCAACTACTTGGGAGGTGAAGGTGGAAAGATAGGGATTCAAGCAGGAAACCTCACCTGAAAAACAAATTAAAAGCAAAAGGTTTGGGATGCGGTTCAAGTGGTGGAGCGCTTGCCTAGCAAGTGTAAGGTCTTGGCTTCAACCCCCAGTACCATTTAAAAGAAAGAAAGAAAGAGAAAAAGAGCAGTGAGAGAAAGGCTTGACGCTCTGGGGCAGCTTTCTCTGCAAGTGAGCTACCTGGAGCCTGTTGATCACAGGACTCCACTTGTCCCCCCATTACCCACAAGATCCTGGCCTATGGAGGAAGAGGAATGGGGCCTCTAAGCTGGCAAGACAAGGTCCAGCTCCAGCCTTCTCCTCATTCAACCTGTGATTCTGAGTGGCAAACACAGCAGCCACACACAGTTGTGACCTCCAGTGACCTAGAGAAAATTCCCTTTATTAGCAGAGAAGTCTTTCTTCTTTTTATAAGAGAAAAGAACAGTCATTACTTAAGGGACTCGTGTGTTCAGCTGGGTGTGCGCAGGTGCGAGTGCATGTGTGCAGGCCTTGTCCTAGTTTCCCAACAAGGACAGTTTGCAGATAGCCAGCAATTCTCTGGGAGAAGAAACTGGGGACAGGTGTAGGGAGGAAGAAAAAAGGTGGACAGGGAGGGTCATGTTGAGAAGCGCCTTCTCTCTTCCTCTTATGCCCGTGTTTGTCCACGTGTGAGCTCTGTGCAGCCTCATGCCACAGTAGGGATATTCCAACAGCACTGTAAGTCACATTAGTTCACCTGGGTGCCCAAGGTAAATTTCTGGAAATTTCCCACAAATTCATCAAATATACATAAGACGATTTTCTGTGGAAGCTGTTAAAATGAAATCAAATAAAAAGATACTCATTATATTCTCTTACTACCATTTCCTGGCAACTTGCTCCCAATTTGGCATGACCCAAACTTAATTTCTCAAGGGCCATCCAGGCCCATCAGAAGAGTGGGCACACATCTGTAATCTCAGCACTCTGGAGGCTGAGACAGGAAGATCCCAAGTTCAAGGCCAGCCTGGGCTACATTGGAAACCCTGTCTCAAAAAGGGGGGAGGGGCATTTGTAGGTTCGTCTGGTGGTTTGCTTCTCTTGAAAGACCTCTGATTGATTCTGATTTGGTTTTATTCTAACCAAGTGAGGGCAGGGAGGAAACCTCACACACACTCATGGCTTTCCTCCCTTTGGGGTCACAAAAGGAAATCTAAGTTCAGAAAATTACAGTTCAGCCATCATCACTGAGAACCCCGTCCATATTCGTTTATGGATAATCACCTCACCATGAAGGAGGCACGGGCCGATAAAGGACCTACTGAAAAACAGCTAATCTTTGGTTTAAAATTATCTGCGGCTCTTGACAGTTCAAGACAAGGCAATCTCTAACCTTAGATCTTATAATTTTACATATCCTTCAGTCTAACGCCTCAGCCTCCGAATTCAGTTAAATACAGTGAAATGTCTGAACCAAGACCCATGTTTAAGGCACAGTTCTGAAGGGTCACAGATTTTAACAGGAGTCTGAACAATCCATGGAAACCTCCGCTGGGACTGGGACTATTGTCTGACCCTGGAAGATGACGCTACAGGTCTTTGCTGAGAGAATGTGTGCCATGCTGCACTTTTTAACTGGGCTTGGCTTTTAGCAGGAATTGCTCCGACCTTGAAATTGCTTCTTTGTTGCTCTTAAACGGAGGAATTCATGATCCACCGCAGTCAGTGATAAAGTGTGTCCTAGGGCAGAGTGCATACATTTTGTGTTTGGTTTTCTAAAAAAAAGAAAGGTCGAAAAATGCTCCCGGTGGCCAGAAAGGTGAGAAGCTCGGGCTTTGAAAACGGTTCACACTCTGCCCTTTAACTTCAATGCCTCTCCACTCCCGCGCCCCCACCGCCCCTCCCCTCTCCGGAGCAGACGATTCAATCGACTCCTTTTGTACCGAGTTTATTGCTCAGAACCCCCAGGGTCTCGATTTACTCTCTGCTGAAACGCGCCCCACTGCGCTGCTCTCCGAGGTAGCCCCTCCCGTCGGGTCTCCCCATTCCTTTCTCTGGGCAGGGGAGGGCAGAAGATGTGCTCTCTTAGATCCTGCGCTGCATCTAGAACTCCTCCGGAATGGACCAGGCACTTTTCAACCGCACTAGTACATCCTCTGTCAACTTTGCAAGAGTCCTCCAAAGGTCTGTTGATGGGATAGAAACCCCAAACCGAATCCAGGCAGGAGACTCGTGCGTGCCCGGAGTAACTCGTGCGTGCCCGGGATGGCGAAACGCACCAACCGGTGGTTAATCTCAGCCGCATTCAGATCGCCCAGGCTGTGGGAGGTTTCTGGGTGCACCGTAGAGGAAGAGCGGGAGTCCTAGGACCTTTTGTGGTTGTGGATGCGCGAAGACGCGGCGCGCGGCGGCCCCAGCCCAGGGCGGAAGGCCTGGTGCAGTACAGCTCACTGCGCAAGGACAGGCGGCGGGCGCGGCGGACCGCAGGTGCCCGGACGCTGCGCGCTGAGCAGGTACAGAACAGCCGCCAGAGGGGCAGGAGGAGCCCCGCCTCCGTGCGCCCCGGCAGCTCCTGAGGCGTGGACAGCTCACCGCCCCCCCTCCACTATCACCACTGTTGCAGCCCCTGGGCCTCCCGGCCCCCTCCCCGCCGGCGCCCCGCGCTCTGATTGGATGGCGCGGCGGGTCCCTGGCACGCGCCTGTGGATGTAGTTATAAGAATCCTCGCGTGCCGGCCCTCAGCTTCAGCAAGTCTGTCCCAGCCCTCTCCAGCAGCGCGGGCGCCAGCCAGAGCGCAGCGGCCGCGGGCACTCTAGCAAGGCCCGGGGGCGGGTAGCCCGGCGGCCGCTTCGCTGCCCTCAGCGCAGGCCCCAGGAAAGAGGGGCAGCTGGACAATCCCCCCGCCCCCAAGAACTACAGTTGAACATTGACGAAGAGGCACCCCAGGCAGTCCTCCTGTCCCTGCGTCCCTTGGCGACCGCAAGCATGGACGCGGTGCTGTTGGAGCACTTCCCCGGGGGCCTGGACGCCTTCCCGTCTGCTTACTTTGATGAGGAAGACTTCTTCACCGATCAGTCCTCCCGGGACCCTCTGGAGGACAGCGATGAACTGCTGGCGGACGAGCAAGCCGAAGTGGAGTTCCTCAGCCACCAGCTGCACGAGTACTGCTACCGCGACGGGGCGTGCCTGCTGCTGCAGCCCGCGCCCTCGGCCGCCCCGCACGCGATCGCCGCCCCGGCCCTAGGGGGCTCCGGAGAGCCGGAGGACGGCGGCGGCTACTGCTGCGAGGCAGGGGTGCCCCCCGGCGGCTTCTCCTACTCGCCCGGCTCGCCCCCTTCGTGCCTAGCCTACCCGTGCGCCGCAGCGGCCGTGCTGTCCCCCGGGGCGCGGCTGCGTGGTCTGAGCGGCGCGGCGGCTGCAGCCGCTCGGCGGCGGCGGCGAGTGCGCTCAGAGGCCGAGCTGCAGCAACTGCGACAGGCAGCCAATGTGCGCGAGCGGAGGCGCATGCAGTCCATCAACGACGCCTTCGAGGGGCTGCGCTCGCACATCCCCACGCTGCCCTACGAAAAGCGCCTCTCCAAGGTGGACACGCTGCGCTTGGCCATCGGCTATATCAACTTCCTCAGCGAGCTTGTGCAAGCCGACCTGCCACTGCGTGGCGCCGGCGCGGGAGGCTGTGGGGGCCCCGGCGGCAACGGGCGCCTGGGTGGGGACAGCACGGGCAGCCAAGCCCAGAAGGTCATCATCTGCCATCGGGGCACTCGTAAGTTGCGTCTGCATCTCTGCTCAGGGAGACGGGGACGGATACGGGCACGCAAAGGCCTAGAGGGGATGGGGGAACAGACGGACAAGCAGACTGACTCATGGACTGACGCATCGTCGGGGGACGCCGGCAACCTTGAGTGCAAACTTGAGTTTCTCAGGTTTATTCTGACACTATACGGCTTGGAGGACACGCGTCCTCGCCAGATCTGCAGCTCCTGGGATTCCAGGGAGGGGGCGCTAAGGGTTTGGGGGGTCGAGTAGGAGGACCATTCTAGTGTAACCACAAGACGTGGGTTCAGTGTCTGTGCCCATGAGGGGATCTTACAGGACTGGAAGGGACCGCTGGGAATGTGGTTGAATATTTACTGTCTATTTTCTCTTTTCACCTTCCCAGGATCCCCATCCCCCAGCGACCCGGATTATGGCCTCCCTCCCCTTGCAGGACACTCTCTCTCATGGACTGATGAAAAACAACTCAAAGAACAAAATATTATCCGAACAGCCAAAGTGTGGACCCCAGAGGACCCCAGAAAACTCAACAGCAAATCTTATCACAACATAGAAAACGAACCGCCCTTTGAGTTTGTGTCCTGAGCAGAGCCCCACAGGGCTGAGAATCTCATTTTGTCTCTGTGCATATTGTACATGTGGATATCTATAATGGAAATGTAATTTAAGAATCAAATTTTCCAATGGCAATCAACTGTTGTTATTTATCTATTTATTGTCCTGTCGAATTAATGAAATAGATGATCTGTCTTTAAATATATAATTTATATAATTTATCTTGATTGTCTAAAAATATGCAATAGCTGATGATTCCCCAGCACCTTTGGCAGAAGTCTGCGTTGTTGGAAGAACTCTGGCCAGGAAACTTCAGGCTTATTTATTGCCAGATATGGTTTATTTCTAAGTTTTTTTAAATAAATGCTGTTTACACCTTTTTCTAAAAGTTGTCTGTTTAGTGCATGATGGGGGTAGCTACAACCTTAAGAATTAAAAACTCGTAAAGGTTAACTGAATTAGCGGCTCAAACCTCAGCCATCCACGTTTTAGTAAGATTTATTCTAAAAGGGGAATGATGGAATGGCTCAAGAAGTAGAGTGCCAGTGTAGCAAGCACGAGGCCCTGAGTTCAAACCCCAGTATTGCCAAAAAAAAAAAAATCTGAAAGGTTTAGGGGTTAAGCCACAGCTCACTGTGACCGACCTTCATCTGCATCGCCAGCCCTAAAAAGTAACAACTTTGCCTCTATTTGTATCCTACCTTCCAGACACTCTAGGACGGCAAATAGTTCATGGAGTATTTATTATTCCCATTTTCAGAGGAGAAAGTTGAGGCTCAGAGACCACGTTTGGTTTACTCAAGGTTATCCGCCTAACGATAGTGTATAAACATGAATGCTCTGTGTCGGGTGGGAACAGGGAGCTGGTTTCTGGTGTGGGCCAGAGAAGGGTCCTTTCTGTTGCCTGGGGAGAAAGGGCTGGTCTGGAGCTGCGCTGTGACCCACCTCTTCCGCAGTCACAGCCTCTGGGTTCCTGAGATTCAGATGTACTCCTTTCAAAGAGCATAGGGCAGAACCTGGAGGCGGGATCCCAACAAAATCCAGTGTTTTTTTTTTTTTTAAGGTAAAGCAGGAAAGTCCTGCCCACTCTCCCTGCCCAGTGTACAACTGGGTTATTTGTTAAACTGACCCGGTTTTGCCCCCTCAGCCTCTGCCAGCAACTTAGAAAGCGAGCGGGGATGGAGGGCACAAGGTCGCCCCCTAGCGAAGGGGAGAGGAGAGATGGAGAGGCCCAAGACGCGCAGGGCTCTAGTTTGTCTCCACAGCAGTGACAGGGGCCTCCCAGACATTCGGGGCGCCCTCATTAGCAGGCCAGAACCCGGGCGCACCGCGGCAGACCGCGAGGCCGGCGTGCAGGCGCGCAAGAGACACACACCTTGGAGTGTCAACGCGTCACTCAGTCTCCGCCCAGGTGAGCTGCTGCTCACTGGCCTCGCAGCGACCTGGTTAAGGTAAAATCACGAATAGCCCGCAATCCCCACCGCCTTGCGGGAGGGCAAAATGCCGGCAGCATGCTAATTGTTTTAACCTACTTTCAGCCCCACTGAGGGGTTCCCCGCGCGCCGCGGGTGCCATGGATTTCGTCCAAGAATAATTAAAGCGAGGCCGCAAGCCCGACCTCGCAGCTCGGCCTGGCCAGACATGAGGAGATTCTGGGTCGCGAGGCTCCCAGGAGGTCCTTGGCCATGGACCCTCTCAGCCCCTCCAGCCTTCGCGTCCTCTCCCGCCCCTCCCCCTAAAAGATGATTTCACACTGGAGAGGATTTGAGAACGAGAAAAAAAAATAATTCGATTTTGTCCTGTATTAGGGCCTCATTAAACACGAAAGTTGCTTTTGCACAAATGCTTCCATCAGGCATGTAATCTCATTACACTCATTAGAAAGTCAAATGTTAGACAGACTTCAATTTAATTATAAGTTATGGAAGTGTTGTACCGTTTTCTTCGCTGCGTAAACCTGCCTTTCCATTGGATTGAGCAATGTGGCATTTCGCAGTTAAAACACTACAATCATTGTGATGTGGCACCTTTTATTATGTGTGCCACTTTTTTTTTTTTTTTTTTTTGTGATTCAATGCATCAACACATCCTTTAGTGCGGTGCAGATGAAGCGGAAGAACTGAGCTGAGCTTGCAAAACACCAGGGTCTCTATCTTGTCACTCTTGTGTCCTGACTTGGCAAGTCCCTTTAAGCACGACCTTCAATGAGACTGACAGTTTCTTTTTATTTACTCATAATCCATTCATTCTAGTGTAGCAATTCTTTAAAAAAAAAAGCAGCAGTAAAAGCAGAACAAACGTATCATTTCAGAGTCCCCTTTGGCATCAGGGAGGCCCGAGCTTCTCTGGGTGCAGGGAAAGCTGGCTTGTGGCAGAGCCAGGATGGAAAGCCTTTGGCCTGGGGCATCTCTGGCTCATAAATACAGCCTGGCTCTGGAAGGACTATGTGGGGGCGGCTTGAGTGACAGTATTCAACAGTTCTAAGTCATCACTTTTCTTCCAACTTACAAAAAATGCGTATGAAAATAGAGTAAGGCAAACTGCTGGACGGCTATGGAGAGTCTTTGCCCCACCCTGTTCCTCTGAGCACCCATCAGCCCTTGCGCTGAAATCCAGCCTGGGACCACCAGGGGAAAAAGTTTAAAGTTCACTCTGGCTGCCCTTGTCCGTTTAGCATAATAAAGAAGCTGCAAACCCAGTACAAGGTGCATTTTGTGATCTCTACTGGAGTGCTGGCTAAACCTTCTCCAGTGGTCCACACCCACTATTAGTGGTTGTGTGGGGGGGAGGGTGGTGGGGGAGAGGGACTAGAGAGGATATGATAAAGTCTTCCCAAATCGCGTTGCACTGGAGTGCCCTCCCCTCCCCCAACACCTTACCCCCT